ATGGACTAGATAATCTGGGACTGTTAATTTAAGAACATGCTATTTTTTCAAAATAACAATTAAATGTCTCCCCAAGACTTATTTGTATAATTATTTGATACTCAAATATGTCCTAAGGGCACAGTTAAATAATAAATGGGCAATAGCAACTTCATGAACAAAAATAACAAAACAGAAGACTGAAAATAAAGTGGAAATGTATACATTTAATGTAGCAGGGGACAATGGCCAGAGAAATGTTTCATAGGTAACAATAAAGGGGTCTTTGGGATTCATTTGTTGTCTTTTCTGAAAGTTGGTCATAAAATGCACCATGGTGCTAGCCACCAGAAAACATACTTGGACTACAAAGACTATTTTCAACAAGATTAGTAGATATCTCTAAGGATATGTGAATAGACAGTAAACATTACGTGATGATCTTCTCATGAATCAAGTTGGTATGCTATTTCATAAACAAATCCCAACTACCATAACTATTTATTCATCTTAACTAGTTAATTTATTGCAACATAGCTGGAATTTAATATTCTAATATACGAATTTTAATTTAAAAATTTGCCATTGTTGCCTTAATTCTATACCTAAGAATGTAAAGTGGTGTTTATTATTGTTACTGATTAAGTAAGTATATAGCACCTGAAAATTATGTATTATACCTCCATATATGGCATGAATGTGAATATTGGTCTATGAACTAATGAAATAATTTCTTCTCTATCAAACATTTTTATCTATCAAAAAAATCTGAATACACATTGAGTGTTCCTTAAGAAACTACATCTTCCAGTTGACATTTTATGTATAGGACCAGAAATACATGAATTTAGAAAACCATTAATACTCCTTTTAAAAAATATAAAAGGAAAAAAGTTATATTCCAATCAAGTATTACTAAAAAGAGACAGAAAGCCATTCCACAAGTAGGTCCACATCATTACCTAATTAAAAGCTTTAATTTAGTATATAAATTTCTACTATCCAAAAAATGCAAATACTTTACATGGAGACAGTATCAACATTGAAACTATTTTCAAAACATCTCTAACTTTCAAGTAGATGAAAAACAAGACTTGAAAGAGAGCTACGCAATGTACATTTGCAAATATGTGAAGTGATAAAATGGTCAATAATAAATAATTTTAAAATTTACTTTCATGGTTCCATTTCCAAATTATGTGAATTCTAAATGTATCTATTATGTATAATAAAAATATCTCCTAATATAACCATACATTTTTTTCCTCCCTTCCTTATTTTCACCATTCTAGTACATAGTGTATTTTCTTAACTCCATATGTTTTACCACTTTAAAATCATCTCAAGTTATTGGTCTACTTACTAAGTTACCATGAGGATATTCACTTGAAAGGTATTATCTATCTACTTTTATGAATTTAAGTCAATGCAAGGTTGTACTTGACTGTATCTTGAAGATTCCTTTTCTGAGAAAAATTCACAAGCCATCAGTTGCATTTTTGTCACCAACTATCAACATCAAAAAAAAAAATTATTATTCTTACTCTTTAAAAGAAAGAGTATTCATGTATGTAAATTACTTGCTCCTTGTTTATGCATATTGATGATCTCAAACTGGGTCTGAAGAGATGGATTTCTTGGAAACCTAAACTTTTGGAACTGGAAAGGACATTAGAGATCATCCACTCCAAGCCCTTCATTTTATGGTTGAGGACACAGAGCCCAAAAAAGATAGCTGAGTGACTCTGGGCAAATTTCCTACTGAGTGGCAAAGCCAGAATCAGAAGCCAGGTCTCCTGACACCCAGTTAGGAGCCAGGTCTCCTGGCTTTTGGTCCAAGGATCTTTCCATTACACACACACACTGACTCTCTATTCTTTGAGGATGTCGTGGGCTGCTTACCCTGATCAAACTGCTCTGTAAATGATCACATTCACCAACTGAAATGCCTTTGATGACAAGCCATGGGACATTGGAACATGCCTACACAATCAGGGTATACTCTAACCACAATCTTTCCCACAATCTCAAAGGCTCCTCCTTGATCATACAATAAATTATAAAGCTCCTTAACACTGTCTTCAAAGCAGTATGCAACCAGCCCCCAAACATCACATGAAATTCTCCCCGCTCTTGATCACTGCTGTTATTGCCAGTCTTCATTCAGTTCCCAGGTACCAAGCTCCTTCCTATCTCAGCATATGCCATTCCTTCCACTTGGGCTCTTCTCCCATGCTTTGTCCAGCTAGCTATTAATTATTCTTCAGTTCTCAATTAAATATAAGATTTTTTAAAAGGGATCCCCCCACCCCAAGCCCTGTGATGTTTTAATCCATTCCTACTTCCTTCTTTTTACATTCTTATTGCAACCTATATCTTTTAAAGTTTAAAACAAGTCCAGTTAGGGGCACCTGGGTGGCTCAGTCATTAAGCATCTGCCTTCAGCTCAGGTCATGATCCCAGGGCCCTGGGATCGAGCCTCACATCGGGCTCCCAGCTCAGTGTGGAGCCTGCTTGTCTCTCTCCCACTCCCTCTGCTTGTATTCTTTTTCTCGCTGTGTCTCTACCGAATAAATAAATAAAATCTTAAAAAATATAAAATAAAAAAACAAGTCTAATTAATGAATTATTTATTCACTTCCTTATTTAAAATGTTTCTTTTTCAATCTATTCCAAGCCCTATAAGAACTGGTACTCTATTCCCAATCACTATTTTACTCTCCAGTACTTAGAGGATTGTGTCTGAAACACAGTAAATCGAAATAGTTAGTACTTACCAGCTAGTTGATTATAATGTGCTAGATCTTGTTCTAGAGCTGGGGATCTCATTCAAATTTCAAACAATGGGGTTGTTATTAGTATTATACTTGTTTTACGGATAACAACACTGAGACACATTGCATTAAGACACTTGCCTAGTATAAGAGGAGGGTAACGGTAGAACTGAGATTTGAATTCAAGTGTTCTGATTCCAGAGTCCATTTTTTAAACTAATATAATATGCTGCAGCACGCTCAAACGTTTGTTGAATATACAAACTTACCCGCACAATCAACTTAACAGTATCACTGAACTCTGTAAATGGAATAACAATGAAGAACTGTATAGTATTTACAATATGCCCAGCACTGAGATACACCTAATGTAATCACTTAATCCCACAGCAACCCTACAAAGGAGACACTAACATTATTACCACTTTACCAAAAAGGATACTGAGGCACAGACAGGTCAAGTAACTTGCCCAAGGTCATATTGCTAGTAAGTGGCAGATCTGGGTTCAAACACAGCAGGCAGTCTATTCATGTCTGTGTTTGTAACTCCCACTCTATGCTTCTGTACTTGCGGTAGCCCACAGCTGAAGACAGCTCAAAGTTCATAATAAATTACTCACATACATAACAAACATTAGTGAAACCTCGAGAGACAAAAAAATAAAAAATGAAATAAAAAAGGAGAGGAAGAGGAAAAAAAAAAATCCATCTGCCTAGACAAATTTGACTCCCTGTATGTGATGAAGATAAAACCTCCTCCTTTGTACAGATGTCTTACTAAGAGGGGTAGCCCCTTCCTTCTAGCAGATATAGTGCCATAGCATAGTGCAGGGTCTTCCCGGGAATGTCTTCTGCATTTCTGTCCTTACCCTGTGGCAGGAACCCTGCACAGCCATAGGCAGTAGCTTCGGCTGCACTACACAGAGTCGTCAAAATGGTGTACACACTGAGGAAAAAGGAGACATCTACCCTCACAATGAAGACTTAAAACAATGTAACGGGGGCACCTGGGTGGCTCAGTGGGTTAAGCCTCTGCCTTTGGTTCAGATCATGATCTCAGGGTTCTGGGATTGAGCCCCGCAACAGGCTCCCTGCTCAGCAGGGAGCCTGCTTCCCCTTCTCTCTCTGCCTACTTGTGATCTCTTTCTCTCTGTCAAATAAATAAATAAAATCTTAAAAAAAAAAAAGTGCAGTGGCCACGCAAAACCCCAGAGCCGTGGTGAGCAAAAGGAACATCTTGCTGAAATGTGCCAAAATCTTGCCAAACCTTGTCAAAACCTTGCTAGGACTTTAGATAAACAGGGTGCTCCTCACTAAGCTCCTTAGTTCCATCAGCTAGAAAATGGGGAGAAAAAAAAAATATTTGCCTTGAAGGAGTTTTTAAATAAGAAAATAACGTTAGTGAAATCCCTTCTGCAAATAATAAAGCACCATATAAATTCTATGTTTACTCAATATTCAAATCTTCTATTCTTATATATCCATAAGGGTCCTTCCCTCAGGTTTTCATCCTGTTCTCTGGGAAAATCTACTAATGAAAACAGCACTGCTCTAGATGACGACTCTTTAAATGCATGACTCCATTTTGCACAGGGTTGAAATTATATCCTATGAATATGCTGGCACTATAGAAATGGGAAAAAAAAGAAAAAAGAAAAAAAGAAAGAAAAAGAGGCAGCCTTAATATGAGGTAGCATGTTTCTCAGAGACAACTTTTGGAAGAGTACTTAAAAATAAAAGTGAAATGAGAAGAAAAATTTCAGTTCAAGGTTGGGTGACTCCAGTTAGCTCATTTAGACAGAGGATAGATGTTTTTGTTCTCAAGCGTGGGCATTCAGCAGTTTCAGAAGGTGCGCTACGAAAGTAGGGCAAAGAAATCTAGTTTTAGAAGTCTGATTTCACAGGCTGTGGTCTGTGTACAATGTCGAAAGAACAGGCCAAAGTGGTCAGCTGCATGAAAGAGAAATCCAAGATCAATCAGATCAGCGTCTAGATGAAATAAGGGATCTGGCCACACATTTCCACCTTTCAGTGCATGACACTGGAATTGCTAAGCACAGTTCATGTGAGAGATATTGAGAAATTCCTTTAAATTTTCCACATTCTTCAGGTTTCCCAGACGTAAAATCCAAATAATGAAATCTTTCTTCCCAAGTTGCTGTCATATGCCTAGGTGAAGGACATGACATGAGGAGGGGGGGGGAAACCTGTTATCTTTGCTCCCCAAATGAGATCTTATAACCTTACCTAATAGATTGGTTAACCACAAGGCCAGATCTTCTTTCATCGGTAGCAAATTAGCCTCATGTCTGCTGGCCAGCCATTGGCTATACTGATGCATATCAGACAGGCCGGGTCCACTGCGCACTTTTGGGCTCAGAGCAGTGCACATTATTTATGCACTCGTAAAACCTGTTTTGGAAACAAAAGAGCAGTTGCTTTTTATATAGACGTCTCTTGTTAAAATCTTCTTGCCAATGACATAGGAAGGAACCAGGTCCATGGACGTTTTGATGACAGGTCAGGTTATTAATTAGTAAACCCCATGAGACACTGTTTGCTTTTTCTGTACTGGGCCTATCCCTTTTGACCAACCACCTGGTAGGAAACAGCAGCAATCTGAGGTCAAACAGAAAAATCAAACACTAAGCTCTAAGCTCATGTAAAACATCACATTGGAAAAAAGCTTCTAAGGCAAGAAATTCCACTTATTCAAAAGTAACAAAAAGGGCTTGATTAAAATTTTAGTATCCAAATTGTAAACTCCCAACATTTGGGTTAATGTCTGAACCATAGATTTCCACAGAATTTGTAGTACTGAGTACAAGCAATGATATAATTTGCACGATTTACTGTGAACCTAGGATCACTACTTTTTTTTTTTTTAAAGATTTTACTGATTTATTTGACAGAATAATAGAGAGCACAAGTAGGCAGAGCTGCAGGCAGAGGGAGAGGGAGGAGCAGATTCACCACCTGATGCGTGGTTGGATCCCAGGACCCTGGGATTATGATCTGAGCGGAAGGCAGAGGCTTAACTGACTGAGCCACCCAGGCACCCCTACTCTTTTTTTTGTTTTAATTTTTTAAAAATTTTTTTAAATTTTTAAAAATTTTTTGAATTTTTTAAATTTCTTTTCAGTGTTCCAGAATTCATTGTTTATGCACCACACCCAGGGCTCCATGCAATACGTGCCCTCCATAATACCCACCACCAGGCTCACCCAAACTCCCATCCCACGCTCCTCCAAAACCCTCAGATTGTTTTTCAGAGGCATCCCTACTCTTAAAACTATTACCTGGAAGATTAAGCGGAGCACTTGGTTCTTTGCATATGGGTAAGCTATCATGGACTCATAGTTTAGAGAACTGGTGGGGAGACAGGAAAGGAAATGCTTTTTCAAAGAATACCTACTACACTTTCCTCATCTTAGAATTAATGAAAAAAACAAAAAACTACAACAACCAAAATAAAATAAAATAAAATAAAAAACAAGAGAGGGTAAGTGACAACCAAGATCATATATACTAGATCATGACAGAGTCAGGCTTGAACCTGGGTCTTCATACTCTAAGACCATTATTCTTTCCAGAATGATATATTTTACAAAACAGATTCATTAACCCGACCACCTTATAGATGGCACAGTCCCCTGCGTGGGTTATAGAAAGGATGTTTGAATATATACTTGGTCTTGAATGTAGCACTTTGCATGCATCATTTATAGGACCTAAGACTACAGGAGTAATATTAAAGTCGCTAAGGTAAACAAACTCATCAGTTTAACAATGTGTAGGACTGTATTCTGTATACAAATAGTGCATATGAAATAACCAAATATAGTATGACTAATGAAAATGAAAATATTTGCACCTGGCAAGGAGTACGATAGATATAATGGGGCTTTCAGCTATAGTTCAAGATTTATGGTATTTTAAATTTACCAACATAAATTGTATATACTTCTGTCAGTTTTATTCTTTATGAAATATTTGTTTCTACTTATTATACTCTAATTCTCTTAGCATAGGTTAATTTTTTGCCTTTTAAGTCTGCTTTTGGAAAAAAAAAAAGACAACATTGGTGTTCAGAAAATTGCAAGATGTGATGGTTTCCCAAACATTTTGGTGTAATATTAGAAAAGACTGATGATAACATGAGTCAATACCTAAAAAGTGTCATAAATGTATAATCTTAAAACATAGGCAATTTCATTTCCAAAGCAATTATGCTTTTGGATAACTTTCTGAAAAAAAAATCATTAATTATCTTTGAAAACATTTTTTATAAATCTGTATATATCTAATTATCTAAAGTGAACCAGTGCAAAAGTGAAAGATTTTTAGTACATTTTGTCATAGGTTACTAAATCATCATTACAGGAGCCAGAATGTCATCATTGCCTATTTTTTTGCAGTCAATCATCATATTTTTCATATAATGTCCTGAACTTTTGTCCAAACCCTGTGATTAAATACCAGAAATCTAAAAATTTTTGCTCCAGTTCTTTTAAAAATAGGTCCAGTCCCAGGAAACAAGACATCTCCCTGTGGCTGTTTAGGATTCCTATAGGCTAGCTAGCCTCAGAAACAAACATTTAAGTAATAATACATTTAAGCACATGATTCATACATTTAAATAACTAATTGAAATCTTAAAAGGGTTACCTCGAAAATGCTTTTCTTCTCAAGACACAATCTCTCCCACTACTTTCCTGAAAGTGAGATGTGGTAGTTCAGTAACTTTACCTACATCCTATTATGTGCTCTGCAAACTTCCATTTAAGCACCAGAATCCTACTTTGCACTGTAAAAGCAAGAAGACACCTCAGATACTTAAGCTCATTGTCTAGCAAAGAATTCATCAAGGGATAGTTTACAGTAAGCCTAATGGCATGTAACAGTTTCAATGAGCCAGAGGGACACAATCCTTCCCCTCAGTCCTTCCAACAGTGAAGTTTTTCTTTTCCTTGACAGTGGCACATTTATTTCTCATGTAGTGTGTCCTGTATTTTGCCAGAAATGTAATTCAAACTATCTTCTGATCTTTATAGATGATTAGTAAGAAAAACAATCAGAGTAATTAGGCAATTTTTGTTATGCTGCTTTGGACATAATCAAAATTATATACAAAGAGGAAAAGTAATAAGGTTATATTTCCCCAGGAAGCAAAAGTGGGAGAAAGAAGGTTTAGTGGTTAATTAGCAGGTGATAGAAGTTAAACAATTAAACACTTGCCAAATACGGGGACCTAGAGTCACTGTCATAGACAGGGGCTCTTCTGTTTACGTGTCTTGGGAAAAAATCAGGATTTCAACCCAAGTTCCACTAATCCATCTTTCATATTTCAAATCACCATCAAACCTAGCATGACTTTGTGGTTTAGCTGAAAGTCACTGCCTGAAAGTCTTCGATTTTAAATATGGCAGAGACATGAGTAAGAAACACGGAAATGAATCCAGCTAGGATCAAAATCTGGAGTGTGGAAGAATTATCCCATGGTGAAGTAGTTTCTAACAGAAATGACTAAACATGAATAACATTAATTTCATTAAGCACGAATAACAATCAAATAAATTTATATTACTCAGACAAAAGATCAGTACAAGATTGTAACCTTTTTAGAATTTTCAGCATTAACCAAGTGGATGAGTTGAATTAGATCACAAAGAACAAACTATAACAGAAAGATCATTTCTGGTCCTTTGAATTATTCAAAAGTTTTCAAAAACCAAAAGAGATGCCAAGGAATAGCTTTTAAAAACGGGAAATAAAATGATTAAGGATCTATTAGACTTGAAGAAAAAAAGTTAGGTTTGGGGGAAAGAAAAACATTTTATATGATATATCTAAACACTGAAAGATATTACCATGGAAGTTCAGATAATCTAAATATTTTAAAAGCTTGATAAGTGACTTTGATAAGTACTAAGCAAAGCCGATTATTTTGGAGACAGAAGGACTGAAATGCTTCTATGACCCTCTGAACTATGGCTTCTCCAAGCTGTATGGGTCTCTCTAAAAACGAATAACTCAACCCTCAGGATTTGGAATTCAGAAAAATAAAACTTAAAGGGAAAAACATGCAGAAACTTAATACAGAAATCTTCAAAGAATGTGTGTGTGTATTATTTTTTCTTTCTTTCCATAGTAGAACTGATTCTGGAATAACCATTATGAATATGATGAGACTGAACTAGCCCGAGGGAAGAAGAAAAAAAATTAATGACTCCATAAGTAAAATATCACATGTTTAAAGACTGTTTAGTCTGTTGCTCCAGAATCCCCATTGAAGACATCATAGTTTTAACTCTGAAAAAAAAGTATGCTTTCTCGCCACCTAGAGGTGTGCTTTGATTACAATCAAGATGGTTTCCAGTCTCTCTCTAGACTTTGCTGACATGTTATCAAAAATGTACTGCATGGAAAATAAATGGAAAGAAAGAAAAATGAGAGTAAAATTATAAATATTATATCACTACTGTCTACTATGAGATCCACTGAGAAGCCTGATTAATGGATAGAATATTAGATTGGGAATCAGAAGTGGTGGAGTCAAATACTTCTACTACCTAGCTATTTAATAGCTGTTCTATTCCAGTAGGATGAATTTTTCTTTGTACTGGAGTTCTCCAGCATGTAAAATGGAGGCTAATACCTCCATATATAATTGTGGAGATTGTGAAGATTAAATATTTGTTCTACTTTTTGGTTTATATTTTATACCCTGTAATAGCTAAACCCAAATCATCCTCATAGAAAATGTACCAAAATAAAACTCCTATTGACATATTTTAAAAAGAAAAACAGTTCTGTAACAAAATAGAAATATTTTATTGAACTATAAATCACTAAAAAAAGTCAAAAGAGGAGAAACAAAAACAAAGTGTTGATTAAGTAAAACCATAATTAATGGAAAATCCAAAGCTTTCTTCATATTGACGCAGATGAAATCCCAAGCGATGAAGGAAATGTAAGCTCTAAAATGAGATGTTTACATGTGTTTTTAAAAGTAAAGTTTGGTAACAAATTATACCTCATTTTTGACACCAGTTAAAGATAAGGGAACGCTGTACCTTCAAAGTAAATGAGAAAGGGTGTCACTACACACCCCCCCACCCAACACACACACACACACGTACATACACACACACACAGACTCCTTAATAGTAGCCATTTAAAACAGAAAGCTAATGAACCCGAAGTCAAGGGACCCATCCCCAAAGGCCAATTTTGTTCTGATCTGTAGCACTGACCTCATCCTTATTCAATTCTGTGTGTTATGAGTGTGAAACAATGAAGAAAGAAAATTTATAGGCCAATAACACCATTTTAAAAAATTAAAAATTAAGCTAACCAAGAACACCACACGCCAAACACCCTTTCAAAATTTGGAAGGATAAAATGCTATCTTTCAACTGAAATTCAAAGAACCAATAACCAAGGACTACTCTAGATGGCTTTTCCATC